TGAGCTTTAATGAGGCTACAATCCCATGAAGAATTGCGAATGACAAAAAAAAAATCACAAAAAAAACATATATATATAAAACTATCGACTTAAAGATGTTGACTGTGTATATAGAAACAACATATTTTATGCTTATTGCAAAACATACAGTAGTTTGAGAGCATAGGGAGACTCTATTTCATCATTGGTTTTGCTTCATGGGAGTGGGCGGAGCTAAAGAGTTAGTTTGGCGCGATTTGCTTGTTTTGATTCTCTGATTGATGGAGATTTCTCTCTAAAGTTGTTCACCAGCAATTCAGCGGTTAAATATGATTGAACTAATGCAGACTGACGGCTTCAACGAAAGCCTATGCCATCGATTAACAACGTTGTAGCTCACAGTAGGTCTGTCTTCTTTAATGGTTATTAAGTTATCGTTTAAAATCAATTTCCCTATGGAGGAAATTAATGGAGAAGAACCCGTCTTTTGCACTCATTAGGTGAAGTGGAGTGGTCAAGTCAAGTCAAATATATTTATATAGCGCTTTTCACAATACAGATTGTATCAAAGCTGCTTCACAGTATCAATCAAAACAACTTAACAGTGTTTGTTTATTACTGGAAAAGACAACCAAGTTTGGTAGAGCTGATCAGTGGTATGATGGGTCATTTAATTTGAATATCCCCAACTGAGCAAGCCAAAGGCAACAGTGGCAAGGAACCGAAAAACTCCATCAAGTGACCCGATGGTGTCCTAAAACTCCATCAGATGACCCAATGGAGAAAAAGAAACCTTGGGAGAACCCAGGCTCAGTCGGGGCCAGTTCTCCTCTGGCGTTTATGAAGTAGAGGCCGAATTTACAGTAACTGTAAGATAAAAATTGTATATGAATGCCTGGCTAAATAGATGCGTCTTTAGTCTAGTTTTAAACTGGGAGAGCGAGTCTGAGCAACGAACAATATCAGGAAGGCTATTCCAGAGCTTCGGAGCTAAATGTGAAAATGCTCTCCCTCCTTTGGTGGATCTGGATATCCTAGGAATGACCAGAAGCCTCGAATTTAGTGATCTTAAAGAGCGCGATGGATTATAGGGCGATAGAAGATCCGTTAAATAGACTGGAGCTAAACCATTCAGAGCTTTATAAGTCAAAAGAGCAATACCTTGTAATTAATACGGAACTTTATAGGTAACCAATGAAGTGATGATAGAATCGGTGTTATATGATCATATTTTCTTGATCTAGTAAGGACTCTAGCGGCTGCATTTTGGACTAACTGTAAGTGGTCTGTGTGGGATGTTCAAAAAGCAGTTTTTTTAAAAACTTTTTCAGTAGAATTAACCTGCAAAAGGTCTTACAGATAGTTGCCTATGAATATTAAGCTGAATGGAGTATTTTAAGAGTTCTCACTTATTAATTATCACTAATGCTGCAAATATATTTCTAGGCATGCACCGATATGAAAATTTTGTCCGTTACCGATAATTCTTTATGTATGAGCCTGATTAGAAAAACAAAAGTCTCACCATTAAAATCCATGTCCCAAGCACACAATTATAATGATGTTCTTATTATAATTTTATGTAGCCTATATGACAGACTTGCGCTGCACGTTTTGCACTTTACAATATTTTCCTTTTTTGATTCCAATCATATTTCAAGCAATTCAAAACCATCATGGCGGACAGTGCACATCTGAAGTGTCTCAGCTGAACATTATTTAACGGCTTTAATATATCGGCCTAATTTTGTTATTGGGCCGATAACGATAACATTAAAAATGAACATATATCGGCTGATACCGATATGGTGGCTGATATTTCGCGCATCCCTATATATTTCTATAAAAATTATCGGTAGCACTTTATGTTGCAGTCCTGTTCCCCATGTACATACTATGTACTTATTATAGTTATTACAATAACTGGGTTATAATTAGGTACTAACCCTGAACCTAACCTTAACCCATGTAGTTACCTTACATCACCCACTACTTTCTTAGTAAGTGCACATACTGTAAAATAAAGTGCAACCCGTTCATTTATTGAAAGCCCAAAAATGCACGAATGAGTCTTTGTGTCTTTAATAAGATCTTTTCTGGTAAATGACATGTGAGTCTTTTTACTGTTTTAGTTTCATCATCACATAATCGTCCACCATAGACCTCACCAAATATGCTGAGGTGAGACTAATCGTGCTGAACCTCATTGTCTCAACAGGCCTAAACAATGATGTATAGTATCCCAGTGCGGCGGTGCCTGAGGGATTTCATCTGTGTTTACTCATATCAGATCCTTCACAGTATAAATCATTCCTGACAGTCTCTCTGTCTATGGTGTGGTGACTCTGATCGCCTCACCTGTCGAGGTGGAAAGCTGCAATCTCAGCATTGTGTCTCTGAAAGTCCACAAAATAGAAGAAGTTCTCCGGCGTCTCTTCGTGCCGCTCCTGTCTGAAATCAACAAGGATCATTTCTATCAGTTACACTACTTTTAAACCAAAGGTGTAGTAATCTGGAAATCTGAATAACAAAGCGTTACCTCATTGGTTTAAACATAGCTTTGCCAAAGTCTTGGAGTTTCAGGGCCAATTTCAGATGAAGACCGCTTGGTTTAACCACTGATTGGACAGTCAGAAAGAAAGAAAACGTTCATGTTTCCTTCTTAATATTAACGGAAACATATCTGTAATATGAAAATAAGTGCTGTCAAAATTTTTATGCAATTAAAAAGAATAATTCTGTAAATATATTAACTTTTTTTGTAGTTCACATTAATATTCAGTTATATTTTAACTAAAATAATAATATAGTATTTGTAAGTTTTGTTAGTATATGTGTGTGTGCTGGTCTGGATGGGATGTGCACCAATTTACACCTTTATTTAAAAGGTGAATTATTGTAGTAATATAGCCATTATTAATGATGATTCTTCTTGACATACAGTATAGTTTAATGTTTTATTGCGCTGCGTTGGGTTGTGGTGGTACATAAGATGAAAAATGTAAGGAAATTGTTGCAACACCTGACTCTTTTTGGACTGTGAGATCTTTTTTTTTTTTTTCGCCATAGTCGACCTTTCAACTGTAATAGTTTAATTATAGAGGGATCTTTACATAAGCAGGGCTTGCGGTGTTCACTATACGCTCCCGTGTTCTTTTGCTTTGTCTGAGGTTGTGAGAAGCCGTGGTAAGCTTGCCTTCAACCCTAAACCACACCGTACAAACTTCTTTTAGCTCCTTTCCAGCTCAATCAAATCAATAGTTTACAAACTCAACCGTGCTCCAAAATAACACACACGTAATGAGCGAAACAGAAAAACAAGCCAAACAATAAAAACATTGTAGTTGTACTGTATTGGACATTCATTTAGGCCAAAAAGTGGCAAAAGAGGAAAACTTTGGTTGATGTGTATGAGCTCAGGGACAGTGTGGGATGTGTGGTTTTAAAGTCACCATGTCATCAAAATGGACAATTCTCGTAATCTTGAATCAGAATAACTTCCCCTCCCTCTTGCAGCATCTCTTCTCTTCTCTGATGACGAGGGCGGGGCAACCTGTCACTCACATGAGATCCACCAATAGCAAACCACAACCATCCAATCAATTCCTCACGGACAAAATCAAGCCCCGCCCACATTTGTTCTTGTTCCAGAAGTGTTTCAATTGGGTATTTACGACACAATAGGGAAGAAAAGACTATAAAATACAACTTCTGTTTAGTGGCCTTCTACTCTAGTCTACCAACGAACTTACAGTAATATATATTGGTTTTACTCATTGGCGTCAAAGCTACAGATTTCAAACTGGATGATAAAGATATTTAACTGTAAGCTACCTAATGTAATGGGTGAAAATTATATTTAAAAAAAAATACATGCTAAATGTCATTTTAAAATACTGTAAAAATGTTTTCACAATATGTCAAACAGTGATAGGTTATATTTTATTTAACAAGACTATAAAAATATCGATTTATGTATTATACTATATTGTTTTCTATTATAATTTAAAATTTAAATATTTATTTATTTAATTGAAATATTTAAAGTTACACTATTGTTTAAAAGTTTGGGACTGGTAATAAGTCCAAGTCTAAGGTTTTTGAAAGAAAACAAACATTGTTTTTTGCTTTCCAAGGCTGCATATTTGATAAAAAATACAGTAAAAAAAGTAATATTGTGAAATATTATTACAATTTAAAATAGCTGTTTTCTATGAATATACTGTAATTTATTCCTGTGATCATTACTCCAGTCTTCAGTGTCACATGATCCTTCAGAAATCATTCTTATATGATGATTTGCTGCTCAAGAAACATTTCTCATCATTATCAGTGAACAGTAGTGTTTATCATAATTAAATGGTATCACCTTATAATTTACATTCCCAGAACTTCTTACTCAGGAGATACCATAATATTAATTTTTATTTTATTTAGTAAAAATGTAATAATCTGGTAGAACAATTAAAAAGCACATGTACCTTGGGAGCAGTCGCACGCACCCTTCAAAGCTTTCTCATCCTGAGTGAAATCTGTCAGACACAATGAAATACTGCACATCAGCTTCTCAGGATCAGATCACGCAAGCACATTTGAAATGAATACATATTTTCAGATTCATATGCTGGAGCTCTTGGGGGAAGAGAAAACCTGCACTGATGACGGTGGCCGTCTGCATGTCCCTCAGGAGTCTGTCCACGCTGCTGTCATCTCTCGCGTACAGACCATATCGATTTATCCCCAGGTGGAATTGCAGCCAACTGGCCTCCGGGTCAAAGGTCACGGGATGATCAGGTATAGTGATGTTTGAAGCTGCTGCCGCCTCGATGTAGAACTTTTTCAGTCTGTAGAAGAGAACGAGAGATGGCATTGAAGATTGACAAATAACTTTCATTAAGCTGTTTAATATTCAGATTCTGAAGTCACTTTCCTGTACAAAAACCTGGAATGAAAAGAGTCGAAATGGCACATGTGATGAGCTTTCTTTTAAATCATCAGCGGGTATTGTTAGCTCTTAAAATTACGATTCCCTTGGCGTACACAAGTCTGCACATGTAAGAACCTTTAAGATGTAAAAACAGCACAGCCTCAGCAATCTGCCAACAGCATGTTTTGGCTCCCACAGAATTTTTTATTATTTCTTTAGAATTGAACCATACACACAGTAGTGGTCAGAAGTGATGAAAAAAAGTTCGATTAAACCATCAAAATATGAGGAAAATATTTAATATTTTTTATAATACGAGGGAAGAACAAAACATTAACTTATGGTATTATGGTAACTTATGGTTATGGTATTTATCTGACAAAATGCTAAAGGAAATTTTTTTTTTGTAACCTTTAACTCTTTTCCCGGCATGGATGGAATTTTCCGTCATTTATGACACAATGCTTCTCTATGGAGGCTTGTTTCCACCACTGAATAAAAAGTAATTGTGACTTTTTATCTCACAATTCTGACTTTTTTTCTCACAATTGTCGAGCTATATAAAATCACAATTGCGATTTGCGAGATATAAAGTCACAATTGCGAGTTATAAAATCAGAATTGCGAGATATAAAGTCATAATTGCGAGTTATAAAATCATAATTGCGAGATATAAAGTCACAATTGCGAGTTATAAAATCAGAATTGCGAGATATAAAGTCATAATTGCGAGTTATAAAATCAGAATTGTGAGATATAAAGTCATAATTGCGAGTTATAAAATCAGAATTGTGAGATATAAAGTCATAATTGCGAGTTATAAATTCAGAATTGCGAGATATAAACTACAATTCTGAGAAATATTATAATATAAAATATATAATATAAAATCCCTCAGAATTGGATTTTATAACTAGCAATTGCGACTTTATATGTTGCAATTCTGAGAATAAAAAGTCAGAATTTTTAGATAAAAAGTTGCGATTATCTTTTTTTAAAAATCATTCTGTGGCGGAAACCAGCTTTCTTTTTGCATGTTCAGATATTCATTCATCAAAATATTTTGGGGGGCTTTAAAGTTTTGTTAAAATAATCAGAAATGCTGGTGCTGGCTGGCAACTTTTAAAAATTTTGGCTTTTTTTATCCACTTTGCATTTAATGTACAGCCTACAGTACCTTTGATCAAATTCATGCGTCATGGAATCGAGTTCCTGGCAGACACAACATCACCACGTTACAGATTATTGATCCTATTTGAAGCAAATATTTGCCGCTGGTCCTCATACAATTGTCACCATGACCTCTAGAAGCATCATCTTGAATCAACATCATGAGGAAAAGAGAAATGAGTTGAAAGACAAATATAAACTGCAGAAATGTTTACCGTGGCAGGGATCCAGCACTGCTTTCATACAGAGTGCTCACATTATGCCTCATCAATGCGTTTACGCTTATAAATAGGCTTATAGCGGGTGAACGGAATAACTTTTTCGGTGTTTTTCCCTCTCAAAGGTTCAGCAATCAGAGATTTTAACCACAACCTCTGAAAAAACAAATCTTGACTAGTGCGACCTGATTTAAGTGGGTGGTTTCTGGCAAACCTCTGATTATGTGGGAGACACTTGTGTCGAGCATTGGTCTGCTGAACAGCATCACGGCCAGTGCAATTAAAAGAGTGATTTGTCTACACCCCTGCCTTTAATACGACCTAAAAACAAGCCCTTGCTAAACTCAACTGAAAACAGCATTTCCATGGGGCAGCAAGAGGGAGTATTTGAGCTCTTACTTGGAGCTGTCGATTCTTTAGCAAGGCCCTACGAAGGGACTATAGTGACCAAGTCCAAAAAATATTGAATCAAAAACATTATAATTTTTTATATTGTAGGGTTGCTTTTTTTAAAACACCAAGGCATAATATAATACTAATAATTAATATTTACATATTGAAATAAATATACAATATTCCTTTATTTAAATGTTTTTAATTAAACATAAAGGCATAATAATGCTATTATATTAATTAACACAACAATAATTAATATTTATTCAAATATTATAAATTTGCTTTATTTTTATGTTTTAAATTAAAAACAAAATCATAATAATATTATTATATTAATTAATATAATAATTAATATTTATTTAAATATTATAATTTTGCTTTATTTTTTGGTTTTAGTTTTATTTTAGTACATCAAGTACAGCAACTACCTAAAATAAAAAAGGTACTTGTTTTGAAATATTTTTATTTCAGTTAACGTTTAGTTTATTTCAAGTTTTAACTATAACATTGCTGACACTGCCAGTGCTTTTCTATGCTTCATATTGCTTAAAATCCCGTTTTAAATATTTATTTTTCCTAGAATATCTAATATACTTTAGCTATTGAGTGAAAAACTAAACAAAATAAAACACACTAGCATAAATTCAGGCAAGGCTTGAACTTTGCTCTCAGGACAAGAGTGTTTTTTATTAATGTCAGTTAGGTTAAAGTTGCCAATTGCTTTACATGGTTTGATTTTAAGTATTGCGCATTTTTTTAAGTATTACTGTTACTTTGCTGTTTATGAATATTTCGTTCGAATATTCTTCTTCTAAAATTCAGCAATAAACAACAGGTTGCAACTGTTGTCCCATATAATCAATGTGTTAAATACTGGCGGAAATGTTCAACACTTTTTTTGTAGCCGAGACTTTAAAGTATACTGTGTCTGACTCAATGACTTAAAGTGTTCCCCGAATCATTCAGTGATCTGAGTGCGTTCCTGCTAATAAACATGCCACATTATTTAACATAAAGACTGTTGAGTACCTCTCCCAGCGGCTCACTTTCCTCTTGTAGTAATTCCTGAGCTCCTCACGCTGCAGAAGCAGTTCGTCGGGCCCCAGTTCTGGAAGACGGATGTTGTAGAGCGGATGACTGAACAGCCTCTCCAGCTTGGAGCTTCTCTCGGTGGAAACTGGTGTGAAATTCTGGCTCGTCATCATCCATGTTGAGGTTGTAGCACCTCTGTTGTCCAGGCTGCCATTGGTGACCCTGCACTCGCAGCTTTCTCTGGGCAGATGATACCAGCTTTTGAGTCTGGGAAGCAGGACAAAATGGATGTCAGCTGCCAAGAGGGTGACCAAAGTGACGGCCACCAGCAGCCGGTCCCTCCTCATGTCCCTTCCAGACCCAGTTCGACTCCAGCAGGGATGAGATGTTCTCCTAGCTGGCTAAGTTGGGGAAATTAATCTCCAGGTCTTCATGGACAGATCTGACTCCTATGTTCCCTGCTTATTCCTTTTAGGAGAGCCTTGTGTTGCTCCTCGCACATCTGACCCAGACAGCGCAGTGCCCCAGTGAGTCAAGTTGCTTTGCTTTCTCTCTCTCTCTCTCTCTCTCTCTCTCTCTCTCTCTCTCTCTCTCTCTCTCTCTCTCTCTGCGTTTGCTGGAAGCGTGGAAGCTGTGTGCTTTCCTTGCCTTTGGGCAACATTCCAGCTGCACCTTCCCACTTCCCATGTAGACACAGCCTCCGATCAAAAAACACACATGCAGATAAACACGCGCACACACACACACACTGGAGAGACAGAGAGGGAGAGGCAGGGACTGAGTCGGAAAGCAGGTCTGAGTGCCAGCGCACATAAACTGAGCGTTTTTTAGTCGAGAAATAAAAAGGCCTGGGTTTTTCCTCCGCCTCAAGCGTTAGCTGGTGAAATTTGCACGTTTCATTGAAACAGCACAACAAACTCTGCTGTGTGAGGTGGATGAGGAGCACGGGAGGTGTTTCCCAGACTGCCAACATCTGCCGTTTGTTTGGGTTTGCATGTGCACTTTTGTGCATCAGCTGTAAAATGGAATTACGAGGTTCTGTGTAGTTTAAAAAAACATTTTCCTCTTTGGGATGAGGAGGAAAAAAAAACACACAACATCTGAAAACAACTGAAGGGATAAAGAATGAACAACCTCAAGCAAGTCCAGAAATAGATTTTGACTGGTTGAGGCTTTTCATTCTGTATCCGTTCGGTTTTTTTCTGAGGTTTTTGTCTTTTTTCTTCTCAAAAAATTATTTAGAGCTAAATTTAAGATTTATGTATTTGAATTGCATATACAATTTCCATCTATTTTGATTGCAGTTTTAACATAAACAAACTAATAAACTTATTGTGATGCGTATTTATCAGTCATACATGAATGAAACTGGCAGTTTATTATGAAATATTTACATTTATCTGATTCTATTTAAATAATACTATTTTTAAAGTGCATATATTCAAAATGCTTAGAACCAGCATAAATCTGTTAATATTGAAAACAATTAAATGTATTCAGTTCAAAAGTAAGAACACTGATCAAATATGGCTAGCTGTGAAACAAGCAATAATCACTTAGTTAAAATGTATGAGATTGAAACAAATTGAATTTATAGATGATAAATATATTAAAGTTTCAAAAAATTAAAAATTCAGTTGTTTATTAGTACTATTACAGAAATCTTTCCTGTTTCATGTATGACTGACAAATATGCTTCACATAAGGTTTGTTTATGTTAAAACTTTGTAAGCCAAATGGATGAAAACCTTATATGAAAATTAATACTTAAAACATAAATTTAGGCCTAAATATTTTATTGGTTATGGTTACACTATATTTGAAGGTGTCTTTGTTACACTGTAATTATAAATTTAAGTACTGAGTAATGTTAAGTAACTACATGTACTACTTACTATAGGGTTAGGATTAGGGTTTGGTTTAGGATTAGTTGCATGTAATTATACACAATTTATAGTAATTAATATAGTAACTGCATGTAACATATGTAACAATAACACTGTAAAATAAAGTGTTACCCTTTATTTTAAGTTGTTCTTGTTACAGTGTAATTAACCATTTAAGTATGGAGTAATATTAATTAACAACATGTACTTACTATAGGGTTAGGGTTAAGATTAGAGTAGGGTCTAGGGTTAATTGCATGTAATTATGCATAATTTATGTTATTTCTATCGTAACAATGTGTAACAAGGTCACTGTAAAATAAAGCATTATCAAAAGAAAAGAGGCAAAAACACAGGTCTTACCCAACACTGAAGGGCTGGATGAGTCCAAAATCCATTGCTATTTTGCAATGCAGTCCATGTATTTTTGCAGCTGTTGTTGATTTCTCGAAACACTTAAGAGGGAAATATGTATTTGGGTAACACCCCGTCCATTACTAGTACGAGATGACCTCGATGTTGACCCATGTTTCTGGGTATTGCTTGGGTAATTTCATTAGCCGACTCTGTACTGTGACGTTCGGAGTGTGGAGTTTATTTCATGCTGTAGGGTTCAGTTTGAAAACACTCATATTGCACTTCATTTTTCTGCCCGATTTGAAGTTCCACTGATGCTTGAAGATTTATAAGGTTGTTTTTTTCATCCTCCAAAGCTTTACACTTTGTTTACTTGTACTCTTCGTTATCTGTCTTGGATTATTCATGCAGAGCAGCTCCAAAGCTTCCAGGAATTCTTTCAACGAAATTATATAACAGCATGTCAAAAGCTGGCTTTTGGGAAATCTTGGTGAGAAATTGTGAGAAAAGTTTCCTAGTCAGAAAAAAAAGAGACAGAAATATTCATGCACACAGTATCCATGACCAGAGGAACTTTACACACTGCATCATTTGTACTCACTTCTCGCTTGTCTTCCTATCAGACCGATGCATTCCTCTTTGAGAGGGAGTTTCTGCATTCCCAGACGAGAGCCTTAGCAGGCCGTCATGTTTCAGAGCCATGCATCTTATTGAGAGAAATTTGTCCAGTTCATCTTGAATGGATAGATGGAGCAACTAATAAATCACGGCACAGCGTTGTGCTCATGTTGAGGTGATGAACGATCCGCTGGCGGAGGTGCAGGTGCACGGAGGATTGTGAGGCACTGATGATTGTGCTTGTGATATTTCATGAATTGAACGACTCATTATGTGTGACTTCTCGGGGGAATGATGTTTCAAAACCTCCTCTTATGGACAATAACATCAGTTTAAATTGGATTAAAACACCACAAATTATGAATTTTGTAGTTGACTGGAAAAGAAGAATGTTTTTTAAATTGTTTGAGGAACCTGGCTGCCTGTGTTTGGATTTGAAAGGGTTTTGTGGGCTAGAGTTTGTGTCCAGGGAAGCATATATTTTGGTTGGAGTGGTCACACGTCTCTTTCTACCGGTCTCTGACTGTGGACACATTCCTCTATGAGGTCTGGAGGGCAGCGACGGTCTAAATGTGCTTTCAGCGAGTACAATCGCAGGCTGCTAATTGGTACGTATGGACATCCTAAGGCCACAGCGCTGGAGTGCGATCACAGTTTGCTTGCTAGGGTGGTTTCTAGGGCATTGCTACACTGTTGTAAACAAAACAGGTGGTCTATATGGTTTCTAACTAAGGCATTTCTAGGGTGTTGTTTCCAGGGTGTTGTAGTTATTTTTTTATTTTATAAGAGGGAGAAAATGTCTGACGATCAGAAATCACACTGGTCAATCTCAAGTATAAGCTAATGATTCAGATCAAATATTCGGTTACACTTTATTTTAAGGTGTCATTGTTACAATGTAATTATACATTTAAGTACTGAGTAATAATAACAACATGCACTTACTATAGGATTAGGATTTGGCTGAGGGTTAGTTGCATGTATTTATACTTAATTTACTGTTATTACTATGGTAAGTATATGTAACAAGGACAATGTAAAATAAAGTGTTACCAAATATTCCATAGGAATATATAGGATATTTGTCTGCCCTGTTACATGACAAATTTACAGTGCAAAGTGTAAGGCTCGTTCACACCAACAACGATAACTATAACTATATTCGTCCACACCAGTGGATGATATTGTCACGGTTTGGGTTTTGTGTCTTGTTCCTTGTTCTTGTATGTCATGTAATTCCGTTTGCCATGTGTCTTGTCAATTGTTCCCAGGTGTTTCTCGTTAGCCACGCCCCCTTGTTATCTCGTTTAGCTTGTTTGTCCTTGTATTTAAGCCCTGTGTTTCAGTTCAGTCCTTGTGAGTTCTTATGTTGTTGTCGTCGATGTTGGTCGTGCTTTCCCTGAGGCCTGTTCATAGCCTGAGTCTTTGTCTAGTTTCCAGTCTGTCTAATAAAGTGTGCTGCATGTGGATCCTGCTTCCTCCTCGTTTCTACCGCATCGTGACAGATATACACTCACCGGCCACTTTATTAGGTACCCCATGCTAGTAACGGGTTGGACCCCCTTTTGCCTTCAGAACTGCCTCAATTCTTCGTGGCATAGATTCAACAAGGTGCTGGAAGCATTCCTCAGAGAGTTTGGTCCATATTGACATGATGGCATCACACAGTTGCCGCAGATTTGTCGGCTGCACATCCATGATGCGAATCTCCCGTTCCACCACATCCCAAAGATGCTCTATTGGATTGAGATCTGGTGACTGTGGAGGCCATTTTAGTACAGTGAACTCATTGTCATGTTCAAGAAACCAATTTGAAATGATTAGAGCTTTGTGACATGGTGGAAGTAGCCATCAGAGGATGGGTACATGGTGGCCATAAAGGGATGGACATGGTCAGAAACAATGCTCAGGTAGGCCGTGGCATTTAAACGATGCCCAATTGGCACTAAGGGGCCTAAAGTGTGCCAGGAAAACATCCCCCACACCATTACACCACCACCACCAGCCTGCACAGTGGTAACAAGGCATGATGGTTCCATGTTCTCATTCTGTTTACGCCAAATTCTGACTCTAACATCTGAATGTCTCAACAGAAATCGAGACTCATCAGACCAGGCAACATTTTTCCAGTCTTCAACTGTTCAATTTTGGTGAGCTCTTGCAAATTGTAGCCTCTTTTTCCTATTTGTAGTGGAGATGAGTGGTACCCGGTGGAGTCTTCTGCTGTTGTAGCCCATCCGCCTCAAGGTTGTGCGTGTTGTGGCTTCACAAATGCTTTGCTGCATACCTCGGTTGTAACGAGTGGTTATTTCAGTCACTGTTGCCCTTCTATCAGCTCGAACCAGTCTGGCCATTCTCCTCTGACCTCTGGCATCAACAAGGCATTTCCGCCCACAGAACTGCCGCTCACTGGATGTTTTTTCTTTTTCGGACCATTCTCTGTAAACCCTAGAGATGGTTGTGCGTGAAAATCCCAGTAGATTAGCAGTTTCTGAAATACTCAGACCAGCCCTTCTGGCACCAACAATCATGCCACGTTCAAAGTCACTCAAATCAACTTTCTTCCCCATACTGATGCTCGGTTTGAACTGCAGGAGATTGTCTTGACCATGTCTACATGCCTAAATGCACTGAGTTGCCGCCATGTGATTGGCTGCTTAGAAATTAAGTGTTAACGAGCAGTTGGACAGGTGTACCTAATAAAGTGGCCGGTGAGTGTATGTGCCGAGCAGGACGAGGCCGAGAGAGAACGGCGAGAGGCCGGTGACGTGATTAATGATGAGCAACACCTGCGCGACACACCGGTCTCGTATCTCTCACGGCCCTCTGCCTCGTCCTGCTCACCACAATATAGGTCTGTTTATTCTAAGCGCGTGCTTGTCTGTCACTTTAAATGCTCGAGCTCGTTACAGCAGGATTGATTCTGATTGGCTGTCAGTGTTTTTATTTGTTTATCAGCTGGATAAAATCGTTCTAAAAGCGATTCCAACAATATCGTTTCTCCTTTCTCTTTATTGTTATAGCTGTGGTGTGAACTCTGCAATTCTTTAATATTGAGAATGACTTTTTTTTAGATTTTTATCTTTTCTTGTAGGAGGAATTTTAATAGATTTATAAAATCTATTTTAAAAAAAATAAAGCAGCATTTTTCAGTGGGAGAAAAAACATGGACATTTTTTCCTGTTGTTTATTATATTCATTTGCTTGGTCAGTGTCGTTATGGGTTTTGGTTCTTTTGCTGTTGTAGGCTGTAAATACCTTTGAAAGGGACTTTGGAAATAACTGAAATCATTAGGCAAAGAGATATGGACATTTAATGCAGTCAAGAAGACCTGACTGGAACTACTTTAGCCGTGCGTTTCCCTGAAAATAATATTGCACACCTTAGAGCGCTCGTCAACCAATCAGAATCAAGCATTCAACAGCCCCATAGTACGAGAAATTTGCAGACCTCATTCATGTTTTTAGCTTAAACAGAACAGGATGAGTTACTGTATGTGCAAAATTTGAATACTTAGGTAAGGGTTTGTTCAAATGTCGAACCCTAAGTATGAGCAACAGTAATAGCGATACATTTTTATTGCTAAAATTACAGTTTCATATACAGTAAATGAAAGCTTCAAATGGAAATCATTGCAACAGCAAAGGCCACATACATAGTAAAATGTTTCAAAAACAATTATTTTTGCTTTACATTCCAATAAATAATACATAGTGTATACAAACATTGATTTGACTGAATAAAGACGACACAAAAGCCACTGTTAAGACCGACGAGGTGCATTTCTGGGGCAAACACTGTAAATCACTGACATGTGGCAAAAAATACAACCTGTAACCTTCATCGTACCCACTGTCTAGTCCTCCAGTGTTTCATAATCCCCAGCATCTTCAGAGGAGAATATCCGAGAGCTCCCTTCTGTTCCTCTGGAGGAAGTCTGCCGCATCTTCAGTTTCCAGGTCTTCAGAGGTACATCTTCTAGCTCATGGATCTCCTAGAATGAGTTGAAAGAGTTATTATGTAATTACAGTCAAAGTTCTTGCATGTGGTGAATATGCAAATAAAACACTGTCAACTACTTTTCGTTTAAATTAGGTGAAGACTTTTAAGTGCTTAAAACTTTTTTCCCCACTGTGGTGGAGACACTGAAATGTGTCTGACTTTAGTGTTGTGGTTGCCATAACAATGCCTCGCTCCCCTAAACGTGCCGTTACAGTCAGTAGCCCATCCTGGCACACGCCAACGCTTCTGCACTCTCTCCCCAGCAACTCCTCCGTGATTCACTCTTCATTTCACTTTCAGCCAGGCGCTCACTTGAAAATTTTACAGAAAAAAAAAAACATTCGAGCCTTCTCATTCCACCTCACCAAAAGCTTTCGCTAGCCAAGCAAAACTTCACTGTGTTGAGGCGTTCATGGCAACAAACACAACAAACGCTCAATGCAATGAAAAACTGGGTGTTGTCTTTGTTTTTCCTCGTCCGCTGGTTTTGCAGACCTTTCAATCAGTATCGTGTATCTACAGGTGTGTTTGTGACTTGTCACGGGCGGCATTTATGGCTCCTCCACTTTTTGTCATGGCCGATTTTGTCCCCACCACTTTATAAAATAGCTTGAAGCATCTCACTTTTTTTATTATTATTATTTTGTGTGTGTGTTTGTGTTTTATAATGACAGGTGATCAAATTTGTTGTTTTTAATATCGATTTTAAATTATTATATTTAATTAGTTCTTTTTTCATTTTTAATATTGTTTTAATCTTGAATTTATTCAATTTTAATTTCTTTATTTAGAATTATTTTATTTTATATACAATTTAGAATTTGTTATTCTTAATAAAAACTAAATTAAAAAATGCTCATATACATCCATAGAAATTTTGGTTTCTTAAACTTGGACATTATTCTCAACCTTCTTGCCCATATTCATTTTCTTTAGTATTTCGGATGCATTTATTCTTAATTTTTTTATCAACACGAACTGGGAAACAAACAGAAACAATAGTTATGGAGCAGAAAAAAAAGAAAAAAAAAGTTTGATTATTTTAATTTACTCTTATTAATAATAATATATAATAATTATAATTGTATTAATAATATAATGTTGGAGGCCCCCGAGTGGGTTCTGGCCCCAGGTTAAGAACCACTGTCATAAACTATTTCATAAGCTATTTATATTTTCAAAACAATAAAAGTTCATGTTAAAATATATGTGCATAACATGTAAATAATATTCATATATTCACGGCTTGACATTCACAATCGGCAAATGCGAGTGGATTTCAGCAGTGGCGTATAACGCAGTCACTCCTACTAGCCACTTTGGCGGGTTTAATTTGATAGCCTATTTAATACATATTTCAAATGTATGAATGAATGAATGAATGAGGCATTTATATAGCGCTTTCATATGTACTACTGTACACCCAAAGCGCTTTACAATCATATCAGGGGGTCTCTCCTCAACCAGCACCAGTGTGCAGCATCCACTTGGATGATGCGACGGCAGCCACAGTACAACGGCGCCAGTGCGCTTGCCACACACTAGCTATAGTTGGAGAGGAGAGAGAGTGATAGAGCCAATTCAGTGGATGGGGATTATTAGGAGGCCATGATTGGCAGGGGCAAATGGGTGGAATGTGGCCAGGACACCGGGGTTACACCCCTACTCTTTACGAGAAGTGCCATGGGATTTTTAATGACCACAGAGAGTCAGGGCCTCGGTTTAACGTCTCATCCGAAGGACGGTGCTCTTTGACAGTATAGTGTCCCCGTCACTATATTGGGGCGTTAGGACCCACACAGACCACAGGGTGAGCGCCCCCTGCTGGCCTCACTAATACCTCTTCCGGCAGCAACCTGGTTTTCTCAGGAGGTCTCCCATCCAGGTACTAACCAGGCTCAACCCTGCTTAGCTTCAGTGGGCAACCAGTCTTGGGCTACAGGGTGATATGGCTGCTGACGCTTACTCACTCTCCCATCTCTCTGATAGCGAGTTACACAAAAACCCACCTCCCCTCACTGTTGGTGTTACAGGGCTTGAACTTCAGCGTGGGATTGCAAATATTGCACAATTTGACTCATTCCCGCAGATTTTGTGCTCACACCCAAAGTGTGGGGACTTAAAACCGCCTCTCAGTACTGAAGTGAGTTATTTTTCGCTGCTTATTGCGCTTACAGTTTTTCTCGATTGTTTAAACACTATAACCAGGCTTTTGAACTAAAATTTCAAAACTATAATGCCATTTATCAAAAAGCACACCCATTTCACTGAACTATGAACACTATTCCCCTGTTTTGACACATTAGTCAGATTTGTTGAACTGTCACAGCAAAACTCTACACACAAATCCCTTCATTTCTCATTGCCTACATTCAATATTGTTCACTCAAGTCAGCACAGCTTCAGCTCAGTTAGCACACAATTACCCAGGTGAAAACACTAAGAGTCAAAATTGAACACACATCAGTCAGATCCTTCAATAGATAGATAAAAGGTTATACAATCTTTTATAAAAGATAAAAATCAGTTTTGGAACAATGGATCCACAGAGAAATTAAGCAATAGGTCAAGGAGGGAGAGGAAGAGGAGGAGGGAGAGGAAGAGGAGGAGGGGGAGGAGAAGGAGGAGGAAGGGCAAGGGCAAGAAGACAAGCAGTCTCAGATGAAATTCAAGCCACTTTAGTTGGCCATGTCCTTGTCCATGGTATGACTATGAGGGAGGCTGGGCAACGAGTACAGCCAAATTTGAGTCGCTTCACCGTCGCCTCCATCATCAGAGCCTTCAGGGAGGTGTGGTGGCAAACACATTTCTATCACTGAATAAGAGACAAACATTTCCAATTGTCTTTGATGAGGTTTATGTTCTTGCAAGAAAAGGCCAGCAGTCGTACAGTCACACAGAGTGGTTGCAGAGTGTGACAGTGAAGGGAGGGCATCCTTTCTCCTTTATAGTCTTGACTCCCAGAATGTTATCTTTCTAGGCCAAAGATGGTATTTCAACTAGGGTTGGGTACCGAAACTCGGTGCCAATAGGGAACCGGTTCCGACGTAAACAGTAGTAACCAGACCGAATAAGAACGAAAATTTCGGTGCCTGATTTCGGTGCCTAACTTCATTAGGCACACACGCACACGCACACGCACACACGCAAGGTCTCTCGCTCTCTCCCTCTCCGCCGTGCCCGTGCGTGTGCTACACAGTTTGGAGCACAGTTTCTTCTGTCTTGCATGCGCGCCCTTTCCCGCAAGGTTTGGCTGCATTTCACGTGTAAAATTACGTGTCAGAACGCCCTCTGGGTGTGCCGATAGTCTGAATCTTATATAGAATCAAGCCAATTCATTGGCTGATGGCGCGGGCGCTGCATCGACGCACTAACGTCGTCATATTATGTTGGCGCGCGCGCGCCGCCATCTGCTCCTCAGATTTCTCTGCCGAAAAAGGAAGCTGGTCGGCAGCGCGAGGAGCTTGGCAGCGTCCCGATATGTTACACCAGTAACCAGAGATGTTCTCTTTCATAGGTTCACTCAACGCTGCGTAGCTAAGAAGCATTGGATTTGTAGGCTGCTGTATCACGTGCCGTTTGAACTGACGCGCTACAGCGATCTGTCACATTTCAAAGAGCCAAAACGTTATTTATTGTGTGAATCTCGTAAAAATATTGTCAGAATCTGACAGCTGTGGATCAGGGACGGATTAAGGCGATGATGTGCCCTGGGCACGGATGTCTCAAAGGCCCCCTTCACCAATTTTTTGGACAACAGTGGGCAGGCAAGCCAGGCATTTTTAGGGGACCCCCGAGGGCTGGTCATTTAAACAATCAGAAATGTTAATAATAACAGACGCAGCAACATCTCTGCATCCCCCAGTGTGTGGCCTCTCGCTCGTTACGCTCGTTATGCTTTTACCTTTTTCAAACTGGTGCAGCGCTTACTCGCGGTAGGTAGAAAATGCATGATTTGATTTGTTAAACATGAAAAGGACTTATCCGTCTGGCATGGCAGCTCGCTCTAACTTTAACCTAGATAAATGCATATCCAAGTGCGTGTGCGGAGTGTGCAGCGCGCACTGCATGGCAGGCGTCGGCGCGAACACTTGCATTTTCCAATCAACAGTGGAAACAACTTGAAATAGGCCTACTCAATCTTTTCTGGTCATAGGCCTATACAGAAAAGAATAATGCATCAGTCGCAAGTAGCTACTTTTATTTTTGTAAACTCACAATAACAAGAAACCGTTGTGCTTTTGTAAAATAAAATAAAACAAACAGGGCGCGCTTTCATGGTCTCCGTGGCGTGAACCGGAGCGCGTCTCAAAAATGAACTGAAACACAGTGTATAGCCTCACATACATGATGAATATTTCTATATAAAGCTTGAAATGTCCACTTTTAAACGAAAAAATTCGAATCGAAAGCAAATACCGGCTGATTAGGCTGATATGATATGAAAGGTGCATTTCTCTCTAAAGGCGCATCCACTTTACAGCAGAGATATAGATATGTTTGCAGCCGACACTGATTTAAAAAAAAAATTATTAAACAATAAAAATGCCTAGTTTTTTCCAGACATATATTATCATTAGCCTGCTTTTGCCGGTGCTTTGCGGCAATATTTATGCATGCGCTTGCTTGAGCGCGGAATAGGCTATACGCCTCCACTCAGTATTTAAGCAGAAATTAATATTAACGTGAGATTAGTCGACTAATTGCTTAAAGGAATGACTACTAGTCGTCGACTAGAAAATCTTTAGTCAACGGCAATTCTAATCAATGCATTTATGCCAGTTGACATTTATTTAATTAGTAGCCTAATTCTAGTATCCAGGTCTTTACGTTAAATTAGTTGAGTTAACAATTAGTTAATGAACTAAAATAATAAAACAAAGATTAAATTAAGATGCTATATAGCATTGCTTGTTCCACCACAAAAGACACTTTTTAAGGTGACAATCCGTTACACATTTGAAGATTTACTGTATCTTGAAGATTGTTGTATTGTATTATATCTTCTGTTATAAAGATGAAGATTGACATTTCGTTAAAAAAAAAAATAAGCCCATAGGATACTATTGTAAAACATAAACAACTTAGCCTATGGTCTGTCTTGGTTGTGGTTTTAAACTCATTTTTGTTTTGGTTTTTAAGTAACCGTCTTCTACGCGTGACTTTTATATTACGCAATGCTTTTCACTCGCCTCTAGATGTCCTTCTCAACAGCGCAGCAATACATTCAAATTATTTATTTCATTTATTTACTAGTTAATACTTTGCAACTGCAAAAAAAAAAAAAAATCACATTATTTCTCAATATTTAACACAATTTTACTGAAAATAAAAATAAAATAAAAAGAATAATTTGAAAAGAATAGACACAGTACATTTTACAGGGCCCCCTGCTGGCCCAGTGCCCTGGGCAAGTGCCCAGTAGGCCCGTGCGTTAATCCGTGCCTGCTGTGGATTTGTTCCATATCAAAAGTAACCTTCTCTGTCTTGTCTGTCAGTGTCCTCTTTGTCCGCGATTTTTCTGTGTGAAAAGGGTCATTTGCGTGAGTCTCACGGTCAATGCGTGAGAGTTGGCAGCTCTGCAATCTCCAGTATTATTACATTGTTTGATACAATATTGTTTCATTTGATATTATGTAAATATGAATTTTTATTTTATATTGGTTTTATTATTACCATATGTTACTTGTATTTATATTGTTTAAAGATTTAAGTTAATATTGTGTCCAGTTTGGCCCTGTAAATTAAAGGGTATTATTTTTTTATAAAGTGTGTGCGGTTTCATTTTCTTAAGTACCGATTTAAGAACCGTTTAAGCACCGGAACCGTTTAAAAAATACAGAGTAGGTACTGGAATCGGATAAAACCCAACCGATACCCAACCCTAATTTCAGCCATATGTGGAACATTCTTAGACTTGTTCATCATATTGTATCCTTGAGTGGAGGCATGTACCAACACTCTTTACCATTCCAATACAATTCCAGATTTGAATAAGGTTTGTGTGTGCTCTTTTACTTTCATATGATGCTCACACACATCTTACATAAGAGTAGGAGAGAGTAAAAAAAAGATGGGGGGGGTGGGGAACCACAAGCAACATGACTTACCAGTTTTGGAAATGTTGTTTTGAATTTATAGCACCAGTGTGTAAGACTATGTTGTAGTGTGTGTATTTTTGAGGGCTTGTGTGTCCTGTCTGAGGGCAAAGTTTGGTTTTTCAGCAAGAGTGAATGGTTTTGAGTGTAGAGCTTAATTTTGACATGAAAATAGGATGTTTGGGGAATTGGGTGAGACGTTATGGATTTGTGTTTACTGTTTTGAGAATACGAGGCATAGTTTCAAGAAATGTGTTTAAGCAATCGAGAAAAACTGTAAACAGTCAAATGGTATTTGAGAAAGTTGAGAAAGAAAACACATGTAACAGTATAATGGATTCATGCGTCAGGTCTTAAAGTTGCAGCAGCCTAATATACCTGCTGCCAAATTATGAGACAATATTAATATCTATATGGCAGCTTTTCCCCATGGTATTGATGTCCATATATTCATATTCTTGAGTTCAGCATTCACCTTTTTCGTGACATCACAACCAGCACATGTGTGCCAAGCCAACTGCCCCATCCTCATAATTTATAAAACAAAGTCATGCCAATGATTTTAACATGCTAAACATCTCAGAAAAGATTGACTAACTGGTATCTCCAGATCCTGAAACGGTGTGAACTCGTTCCCAAAGCGGCATTCGATATTTCGTCGCCTGCGTCGTCGCGACGCCATCTTTATCTCCAGATCCCCGAATTCTCCGGAGAGAAACTGAGACACACATTGAAAGTAACACTGTGTAAAGAAATCCTTTATGTAGTTTTAACAACTTAAATTGAAATGAAATTTCATTTTCTTGACTGACCTTACTGTATTTAGACAGTGGGAACTTTTCCAAAGAGCTGCGCTGGTCAGATGTGCACTCTAAGTCTGGGGTTCGTAGAGCCGTGTAACCGGTTTGGAGGTTTGGAGCTAATTCTGCAATGACAAGGGGTTATAAATCAAGCTTTTTTTAGGATTAAGAGTTTAAAGACAAGACGGATGGAATGAAATTGAACACATTAACAAAGCAATATGTCTTTACTAGGTAACTAGTCAGAGGGAAATAATGTAAGGCAGGATTTAATTTTATTTGTCATGACTCGTTTAGTCTCAGGTGACATGCTGCTACAAAGAGGCATGAACCGGTCAGCACTGAAAATCACAAACTCTAACCAGATCGCATTCACATGATAAACAAAACGAACTGTGGTAGATTGCTAAATGTCTGGAATAAAATGTGTGCAGACAATGTGACAATTTAATGCATTTAACTTCTGTAAAGTCTGAACAATCATTTGCAGTTATATTTCATTTATATCTTTATATTTAAAATGATATTTTTAAATATTGTGAATTTGTTATTTGTAATTAAGCATTGTTATATTTATTTGTTTTAAATCTTCAATTTAATATTCTCAATTTAGAATAATTGTATGTATTATTTTAGCTTTAAACATACAGTATGTTTGAATTTTTATATTTTTAATAAAAACAAAATCCAAACAATTGTGTTTTTGCTGCTCATATACATCCACAGAAATGTTGCTTTATTAAAATGTTTACTAAACTTGAACATTGTCTTCAACCCATATACAGTATTCATGGTATTTAAAAGATATTTCCTCTAGTACTTTTCATTTTTTTATTAATCGAAACCGGAAAACAAACATAAACGATATAGAGCAGGAAAAAAAATCTAAAAGAGATTTCTGTCTTGTTAGATTGTATTTTACTTTATTAGAATAATATATAAATTAATTGTATTAATAATATAATATTGGAGGCCCCTGACTGGGTTTCGTCCCCTGGAACCACTGTCATAAACTATTTCATAAGATATTCATGTTTCTATCAGTCTATTTGGGCCATTTTTTGACAGAATAAGCTTTAGAGTGGATCACTCACACTTAATGCAAAATGCCTTGCTCTGTGAGACTAAAATTTTATTGAATTGGAAGATAATTTTGAAACATTTTAGACTATGAAATATTTGGTTAATATTATTTGTATTTGGCCACGTGGCCTTGGTTACTTCATCAGAAAATTGGTTTCCAAGTGATTTTGATTTTTTAGTCCAGGGACATTTATCACGAATATATAAATGGCTAATTCTGAATTCATGTCTTCTCTACATTTTGTCCCAGAATCCCCTGAGCAGCTGCTCTGAAAGATCAAGAAGACACTGGAGAAAGTCTGAGCATCAGCAGACGTCTAATTCTCCAACGAGTGTCTAGACAGCTGCAGGAACCGAGAAACACACCCGGCTCAGTCGGGAGGCTCAGTCAATCGCTTGTTTTGGCATGACGAGGACTGGGAGCCGGAGCTGAGGGAAGTGAGCTCAGCAAACTGCCAGATCCTGTCTGTATTGGTGCTATGTTGAAGGATTTCGGGGTTTTTTAAAAGGTGGGAGGTGTATTTTATTTCGCAAATGTATGCACACTACTTTTCAAAAGTTTGGAGTTGGTAAGATTTAATGTTTTTGAGGCTGAATTTATTTGATCAAAAATACAGTAAAAACTGTAATATTGTTAAATAATATTACAACTTTCTATTTTCTATTTGAATATATGTTCAAATGTAATTTATTCCTGTGATCAAAGCTGAATTTTCAGCATCATTACTCCAGTCTTCAGTGTCACCTGATCCTTCAGAAATCACTCTAATATGATGATTTGCTGCTCAAGAAACATTTATGATTATTATCAGTGTTGAAAACAGTTGTGCTGCTTCATATTTTTGTGTAAACCGTGATACATTTTTTTACAGGTTCAGAAGTACAATTTGATATATAAATATTTTTTAAATTATATATGGCTTTACTGTCACTTTTGATCAATTTAAATCATCCTTGCTCGATAAAAGTATTCACTTCTTTAAAAAACTTTTTTTTTTTACTGATACTGACCCCAAACTTTTGAATGGTAGTGTAGTTTGAGACTACTTATGTTTACTAATTGTGCAGTGTAAATATCAGGGGCCGTATTGTTCGCTAAAGGAACCCAAAGTTTAAGTGTGTGTTTGTCAATAAGTGTTTCAGTTCACCTTTTTGTGGATGATCACCCTTCCCTGAACTTTCACCCCAGCAGATAAAACTCTCAGGGCTGGCACGTGATTGGCTGTCCTCCTTCCTCTCCTCCTTTTCTTTTTTGATTGGACTGGTACGTTCTCTGTGGGGGATGTTAATGGATCACCGTTAGACATCAATCAATGATTGACGAAAGCACACAAATTCCTGATGTTTGCCAAACGGATGAGGTCACTGAGGATGTGCCATATCCATGTCATGACATGTTGCCGCATCATTTCGTAACATGATGGTATTAAACATTAACCAGCAGTAAGTGGTTCAGTGGATAAATCAACGGGTCTCAGTGGCGCAAACACACATCTAGAAATATTTAAAGGGATAGTTCACCTTAAAATTACAATTGTGTTCCAGTTGTATTAATTTAATCAAATAAATGCCACCTAATGTGATTGATAAACTGCAAAAGTCAACAATTTAATTAAATGTGAACACTGAACATTTGAAAGTAGAAATGCACTATAGGCTCTCATGAGGTTGTAAATTGATCAACTGTTGATGAATTATGACGGTGTTTACTTTATGGTGGTGTTTCTATTGTAATATGTTGTAGATGCTTGTAAAAGTGCATATTTTTGTTATCTCCCTCCTCTGTTTGAATGAGCAACTTTAAGTATTAAAGCAAATACATTTCAAAACTATTCTTATTCGTATGTATTGATATATTAGTATATTTTCAATACATAGTATTTTTATATACCATATAAACCAATTTTAATACATACGTATATTGAATAAAACATGCCACAAGTATTTAAACTGGTTTTGCTGATGAACGGTATGAAGTCTTTGTTGAATGTTTTCCCAAACCAGTTTAATCAAGTAAAAGAAATTGAGATACATGATTTATTTTTACAATTTTTATGGGTTCATTCTATAGGGACACGCAGTATTAATTGGACTTTAAAAAATCTGCAGAGACCCTGAAAAATGGTTTCAAAAGTCTTTTAATACCATTTGCATGAGGAACCTAGTGAAATAAGTCATTACTAGATGAGAGTCATGCTCTTTACCATGCAAACCCGCAATGTCCATTTGAATGGTGGAAGACACTTCTTCACTGAAAATGTATCTTAAAATTTGATCTGTGATGGTAAACACAGTTAATGACAACATTTAATTTTTCTGTCTAAACTGTCCCTTTAAGAGAAAAGCTGTATAATTATAAACTCTTCTGTGTATGTGATGGATTCAGCCCAAAACAAGTCTAAACAGAATCAGAGGAGGAAGTCTGTGGAGGGTTTCTTCACCATGACTAGACACTTTGACAGACCTCCTATTTCCCCTGCCTGTCTGTAACCATTATTCATTTTCGGACAACTCCAGAAATAATAATCAAATGAATGGCCGTCTCTCTGGACTTTTCTCCACTTCAACACATCATTCCGCCACATGCTTGAGCATAAATGGCAGATATATCCGACCAATGGCAACTTTCACTGTAGAGATTTATTTGTTCCAATCCCTTCCATATATTAAGATTGATCAAAGCTGCTAGACTCACAACTGGTCCGGGACATGAGCTTGTAGTTTGGGTTGACTACCTACAGTATCTACTTGCTTTTGTGGAGAATTAGTTGTGGTTCAATGCAGAGCTAAAGTTTTCCAATAAGATAAACTTCCCAAAACCTATTTCGACTTAAATTTATTTAAAAAATATCTCTTATTCAACATTTTAATTATATAAGTAAGTAAACTAAACAAGTAAAATACAGAACTGTTATTATTATTTACAAAAAAAAAAAAAAAAAACACTTAGGATAATGATTTAGTACAGAAAAAAGAAGGGCAATAAAGAAGGAAAACCTCACATTTAATATGACTATATAATAATAATTTTATATTATACAATAATAATAATATTTTATTTTACAGAACAACAGTAAAATTATAATACTAATAGTTATTGCTGTCTTAATTTACTTGCAATAATTTATTATTATTTAATTTATCTTACAGAGCTTTTATTTTGGCAGAAAACCGCAGAGAGACCTTAAAGCTTCTCTTTCGTTGACAACAAATTTATAAGCGATTCTCATTACAAATCTAAGAAGATGGTTGTGCATATTGCATTTTCAAAAACACGTTATAAGTGACCAAAACCCACAGCGCTTGCAGAGATGGAGTTTGTGTGCAGCAGATTTTACTGCGAACCAAGCTGGGCTAATTATATAATTCATGTGGGTCACACTTCACGGAAAACACGGAAACCTGCATTAATACCGAAAAATCACACTCCCCTGTAATTAGGCCTGGATGTGTTGATGGTAATTGTTGCAGAGATTTCAGTTTTTGGCATTGTGAAATCAAGTCACCTGACCCTGGTAAATCAATGCAACTTTTAAGAATAAATTTTTCAATAATCATTAGAAGTCTTTCTTTTAGAACTTGCACAGCCAGATAGTAGCAACGGCAAAGGTCAGCCTTTCTTGGCCTTTTCAAGAGGCCAAGTGTCTCCTTCACAAAATTATGTTTTATTAATAAAGTTCGGGAGAAGCACGTTCAGATAATTAATCTAATCGTTATGGGAGGAGCTCATCCAGTCATCTCAATTAACATCAAGAGGTATGTATACAGCAGTTTTTACAGCTGTTCTATGACAGTTTTCCAGCATCCCTCCACCACCCCATCTCCTCACTTAGTCCAATCCCAAACCTGGAATGGGGGAGTACTCTGGGTTCAGGCCAAGCTCGGATCCCTCCCCTCGGACAGCACCCCAAATACGCATATCCTTTACTCTATCTAATTATATGTAAGTGTGAACTTGCGAAAGAATCATGAGATTGGTCAGAGAAGGTGCACTGGGCTTTTTGAAACTGATCTGAACTGCACATGCTGAGTGAGTTGGCCATCGTTTAAGGCTAATAACTGATGTGCAGTTATACCTGTTGGATTGATAAGTGTCTGGGTTGCTCAAATCCCACTGCTGTTTCTGTCCAAAACAGCCCACACATCCTCCTTCACGGGTCCAGAGACAGGCCCGACGGTCCACCGACGCGCTCAGCACGAAGAGTTGAGACTCGTACACCAGGACCTCACTGCTCACTATCGCCCTCTCATGGCCCCTCCAATAGTGTAACAGTGGAGGCAATTGTTTTGCAGACTGAGAGAGACACATACTTTAAATATATGTATATAGAATGAGGTAAACTGGATTGCCTTCAGCAATTCATCCTAATGCAAAAAAGTACATTTCCATACCTCCATATCTCCAGCAGATAAGGCATAATGTGAGATGTCCCAGACCTTGATGGATCCTGTGGTGTCTCCAGTGACAAGTAGACTGTTTTCCTGGTCTGTGCTTAAACCCATCACACTCTCATCAAATTCATCAGGCACATAAAACTGTCCTGCATCAGACATGATGGACAAAACAAGTCATTAATCTATTAGTCTGTGCTTTTCTGATAACGGATGTAAGATAATAAAAATCTGTGCTTCCAGAAATTGAGCAGAAGCCAGCCGACCAGACTCAAACAAGCGATTTCAGCCAGCTCTTGTCAACAATATTCCTCAGACAACCAACGAAGTGTAAACCCAGTAGATCAACAGTTTGGAAGTTTATTGAATATACTGTTGAGTGTGATGTCGAAGCCGAATTTTCAGCATCATTACTCCAGTCTTCAGTGTCACATGATCCTTCAGAAATCATTCTAATATGGTGATTTACTGCTCAATTATTATCAGTTATACTACGGGGCTGTTGAATGCTTGAATCTGATTGGTTGACGAACGTTCTAATGTGTGCAATTATTTTCAGTGAAACGCACGGCTAAAGTATTTCCAGGAAGGTCTTGACCGCATTACAGCTCCATATCACTTTGCCAAATGATTTCAGTTATTTCAAAGGTTTTTACAGCCTACAGAACCAAAACCCACAACGACACTGACCGAGCAAATAAATATAGTAAACAATAGGACAAAAACGACAAATTATTTACAAGTTTTTATTATGTATGCATTTATTAGTTATTATGGAAAAGCACATATCTTTTTCTCGCGCTCTCTCTCCCACTCAAACGCACATACAGTTAGGACACACACTTGCGTATTGTCAGCGCTGCTCTGACGATTTTATCAGTAAAATAGTTTAGTAACTTAAAAGCAACATGACGTTTCTCACGGGGTGCAGATAAACATAGTTTTGCTATTAGTAAACAATGGTGCCGAGCATTAGTCTGCTATCAGTGGCTCAAGTTCCCATTACTAGCTCTAAAATTTCGTTTTGGAATTAGAAACGGAGGTTTGGGATTAGATGCGTAAGAAATTAGTCCCACACACATGAGCATTTTAAGGACAAAAACCTGACAAACGTCTTGAAATATTAAGGTGTAATATTGTATTGTTATATTGAGGTGTAACGTCTGGTGTGCATTATATTTCTAATAATTCAACGGCCCATCGTTAATTATTCCCTGCTTATTATATTTTTTTCTTAACATTTTCTTTAAAAATATTAAGCAGCACAACTGCTTTCAATATTGGTAATAATAAAAAATGTTTGTTGAGCAGCAGATAAGCATATTAGAATGATTTCTGAAGGACCATGTGACACTGAATAGAAAACAGTTACACATTAAATTGTAATAATATTTCACAATATTACCGTTTTTATCAAATAAATGCAGCCTTGGTGAACATTTGAGACTTCTTTCAAAAACACTAAAAAATCTTGAATTATTTTAAGATTCTGAAGTAGGGTGCAATTTAAAACGTCTTCAATTTAAAAAGGTCTATATAGCGGTGTTTGTGATGTTAACTTGTCATCAGTTGGTCTCGGTTATCATGTTTACCGTGGTTGTGTCTGGCCCCACAGATGCTCCACCAGCAGACGGATCCGGCCTGTGAGCTGAGCAGCACAGCACCGCTTCTCAAATGACTTTGCTGAGCTCGTTTTTGCAAGAACAGCAGTCTATGAACGGGCAGATGGACTCTACACACACAGAAGCACATTCAATTTATACATTACTTCACTGTCAACTAATATACCCTAAATAGGACATAAAATAGGTGCAGTGGTTCTCAACTGGTGGTTCTAAATCCAAAAATGTGTTGCAGGTCTGTTAAATGCAAGCAATCATATAATTATGCCTGGTTGGGATAGCAAAATTATTAATCTTGTTGTGTGAATTATTAGCTGCCGAGAGTTTGGACTTGAAATTCTATTCAGACAATTTCATTTGAATACTTTTGCAAATAGTTGGGCACTCCATGGTAATATTAATACATTACAATATTCGATTTTAAGGCCAATTTTCTTTGCTTGTGTATGGTAAACAAATATGGAACTGTGTTGGGTTACCACATCAACGTAAAATCTGGATGCTAAAACCAGTTGAAAACCAGTCTTTATGAACATATAAAATTATATATTTTTCCCCCACTGTGCATGATTTATTAATGAAATGACGCTCAGGGAATTTTACTGATACATCAAAAATTCAACTTTAATTTAACCACATATAAATAATGACTATGCACATTTCAGGGATATTACAGAGGGTGTAATCTACATTTGATCATATAATTGTACCCTCTGAATTCCACATATATTGTCATGCTTTCTCCTCCAGAAAAATGTTGTTTTCTGCTCATTTTCCACCCTCTCCCTGACCCTTACAACAAAACAGACTGTTTTTGCTCATTTGTAAATGACCTGTGTTATAATTAGCTAGCCAGCTGCTGAATACTTATTCTCTATAAATAGTCTAGGTGGATTTGGAGGGAGTTTAGCTTTAAGTAGGTGTACTTGGTACATTAAACTCTTTTATTTCAAATAAGCAAGGAGAATACTATTTTTCACCGCTTGCTGCAGTCTAAATTGGTACTAACTTCCCTTGCTGGGATCTCTGCAGTCGTGTGATGGGCTTCTGAAGAGCCAGCGTCCATATAATGATCTCTCCATCATAACTACCAGTAGCCAGAAGTCCCAGACTTAGACAGTGATCCATCGCCAGGATATCCTCTCTGTGTTGATGACCAGACTTCCAGGACAGGTCTGATTTTACATAGATGTCCTGTACTCACAGATACACTTCAGTAAATGACTTTTAGATCTCCAGTTCTGCTGTGTCAGCTTCTGTGCAGTGTCAGACCACCATTAAAACCCACTTTGTTTTCATAGACGTCTCACAAAAGCACACAGCCAATTGAAGATAATGAAAGCCATAACCAGAAAAAATGCACATTATGGGTTTATTCTGGCTGAAAGCCGTTTTTGCTTTTAAGTAGCCATTAAAGAGACACAATGATGATTGAGACACAAACAGGCCCTTACCTTTGAAAACGCAATGCTATACTGAGCGATCTGTCGACTCCAGCCTGTGGCTAAAAGCTGGTCGTCATGGTGACAGATGATCCCGGTGACCTCTGTGTTGGAGACGGTTTCTAGCTTATGAAGATTGAGGCCATTCAGTAAGTTCCACACCTATAGCATGGAAATGTACCTGTTACTAACAAGTGACAACAAAAAAATCATCAAATCAAAGTTCAGTCATCAAAGTTTAATTCAAACAAACACGGCTGCTATTGAAATGTCCCTTAAAAAAAATAGCAGTCTAAGATAGAGGTACAACATTAAAGTTCACCCAAAAATGACAATTCTGTCATTAATTACTCTCCCTCATGTTGTTCCGAACCCGCAAGACTTTCGTTCATCTTCGGAAAACAAATGAAGAACTTTTTAATGAAATTTCTGTCCCTACATTGACAGCTACGCAACTACCACTTTGATGCTTCAAAACATTCATAAAGAGATCGTAAAACTAACCCATATAAATTGAGTGGTTTAGTCAAAATTTTCTAAAGAGGCACGATCGATTTATACGCTGAACAGATTTAATTTTCAGTTGCGGGAAACTGAAGCTCAAGCATGTTCGCTTGATTTGCAAGAACCAATGAAGTTCATTCTCGTGTTTCGCAGCACGTTTGAGCTTCTGTTTATGTTTGCTGATCAATGCTTATATGTGAATAAAAGCCTAAATTGTATCTGTTCGTCAAATAAAGTGATATTGTCACTCCAGAAAATTTGGACTAAACCACTCAATTCATATGGATTAGTTTTACAATCTCTTTATGAACTTTTTAAAGCTTCAAAGTGGTAGTTGCGTAGCTGTCAATGGAGGGACAGATATTGCTCAGATTTCATTAAAAAGATCTTCATTTGTGTTCTGAAGATGAACGAAAGTCTTACGGGTTTGGAACGACATGAGGGTGAGTAATTAATGACAGAATTTTCATTTTAGGTGAACTATCCCTTTAAATGGATCTTGTGGTACATCTCACACTTACCTTGATAGTGCCATTGGTGGCTGCAGAGATCAGTCTGCGCTGGTGTACGTCTAGTGCCATACAGGACACCTCCTCCTTACCATGAGCGTTCCTTACCTCCATCCTCTTAATTCCTGTCTTCACATCCCAGACAGTCAATGTGGAGTCAGCACAGGCTGTGATTACCTCGACCATGCACAAAATACACATTAAAGATAAGAACCTATAATGTTCAAACCATCTATCAAACAAACCCAAACACCAACCTGTTCAAGATGAGGATTATAGAGGGCACAGGTGTACAGGCCAGACCTGTTGTTGGATTTTGTTTTGTTGGATTCTTTCAGTTGAAACACGGCCAGATACTCCCTGCAAGTCACCAGGAGCACAGGATCCGCAGTCAGGTTGAGGAGCAAAGGAAAGCTGCCCTGCTCTGGGGTAACGCCTGCTTGGATATTGGGGAATTTCAGGTGAAATGTCTTTACGCATTGTTGAGAAGGAATATCCCATATTTTCAGCACCTGAAAGGTGACACGGATATAGACCAGAGCTATTGACTTATATTTCAACTAATTATCTTTGACTTTTATTGCATGTAGGCAATGCATGATTTCCATTTCTAATGCCAAAAAGCACTTTTACGCTAATGAAAACCACACACCAGTGGCCGGATTCACAAAAATTGTGTGCGATTCTTCTTAACTGTTATATTCTGCTTATTTTCTTACTTAAGAAAATTGTGTATTCCTTTTTTCTTAAGACTGTTCTTAAGGCTTAAGAATTTTTTTAATGAATCTTCTTAAAAACCATCGGTTAAGATAACCTCTAACTTGTCTTAAATCATCAAAGGTAAGATGTTTATGGATTTATTGGTTTGTTTCAAATTAATTGTTGTAATTAAGCATTACAACATAACAATAGTTTCATTTTACATTTCTACTACAAGGGATATTTTCTGAATTGACACCAATGATTGATAATGTAAACAATGATTGTGCTAACCCTAACCCTACAAACACACACACACACGTTTTTACCTACAATTAAGAAATAGTTTTTGGCAGAATTCAGCACAGAGCAGCCATACAGATAGGATGCATTCACTCTAGATAGAGAACCAAAAATATTTTGCATGCTTATCAAGTGTGCACGCTTATGAGTATTACAGTCATCTGCAGACGCAAAAACATGGCCTTCACTGACTGATCAGCGAAAAAAAAAAAATGTTCTTAAGAAAATATTTGAGAACTTCTAAAGAAGTTTTCAAAAATTGCACTTAAGAATATTCTTACAAACTTCTTGGAATTTATCTTTCTTAAGAAGATTTTCATGAATCCAGCCCCTGGATATTTTGTTTTCCATTTAGACATTTAGTAGGTGGAAAACTAACAGCGTCCTTAGAGTAGCTGAAGATCTTGCCCAATGCTTGGTGAATAACCACATCCACCACAGAGGTCTGGTGACTGTGCAGAACCGCAGTTGGGCGGGAGGTCACAAAGCGGTTCCAGAGTCTGACAACAGGACCCACTCCAGCTGTTACCAGCAGACTGAGAGAGAAACTGAAGTCAAAACTCTTGACTCCCTACAGCAGAAAAAGGAGATGAAGAAGACATAGTGAATGGGTTTCAATGTCGTGTCATTATTTTCTGGAAGTCGTGTTGCAATTTAGTCTGACTAATAAGTGAGTCACAGAACTCTTGTTTTACACAATATCCAGGCTGATTTTCTTCTCCAGCTATTAAATTTGTAACTACTGTGGGGGTGGCTTATTACTTCTCTGGATATTGCAGAATGGAAAATACAGGGGAATAGTCTGTGTTAATAAATCAGTCAAAACAACTAAATGAAGATGTTTTATTGGTGTCTGAACACTCCCTTTACAAACCACAACAACAACCTCTCTGAATCATGAGTGTATATTTAGTTTAACTGTAAATGGTCTTTGACTGTCTTTTCCCATGAAAAACATTTTATACGTTTATCTATCTAACTGTCTATCAATCTATCCAACCATCCATCTATCTATCTGGCATAGAGGACAAATATGGAATGCAGAGAATACATATGTACATACATACAATACAAACATTATATATCTTCACCTTTTCTATTCTCCAAATGTATTTCTCTCTCTTCTGATTGACATCAATGATGACCACAGAGCTGGCTGGACTTTCTGATGATGTAATAATGAGCTCATCGTGGGGCTCATACAGGATTCTGTTGATCGGCTCGCTGTGGATTTTCGGGATGTGCTGATAGGAGACCAGTGCACTGTGCGCACATATATCCTGTTCATGAAATATTTTTTACAACATCAGTGCCATGCCATTTTAGATGTAGAAGAAATGGATTTAAAAGAATAAATGCAGTCATTTTCTGTTGTTGTGTCAAATGTCTTCATAGAAACAACATCACACATTTCCATGGCACAAAATAATTCTGCAATCATCCCTACATTAAGATGCACACACACTCACTGGCATAAAGATTTGCAATGGGTCAGTTTGGTTGGTGAAAGGCATTTCAAAGAGCCCCTTGAAAGGCTGAAGAAACCACAGCAAATTCACAGAGCCTTTCTCATCTCCCCACATCAGCACACACTTTCCTCCTGGAGCCTAGATGCAGATCAAACATGACTCACAGTGAACTAAAACAAAAACAAACCAGCTTGGAGAATTAACAAGCTTAAAATAAATTCCAGTTCAACACCAAGGCATTAAAATGTCAGCGGCCTACCTCTGTGTCATACCAATAACATAGACCAGTAGCAGCATGACTCAGTCCTGAAAATAACAGACAGAAGAAGACAACAAGGTCAAAATGTAAGCAGAAAAGCAAACTACCTCATCTAGCAGATTTGTTGGCTCATACCAAACAAATGAACCTGCTCAAAACCAAATGTGGTGGTAACATCAAAGAAGTGGATGCCCCTGCACAGGGTTGACACAGCGATCTTCTGAACATTTCCCATGTAGACAGCATCTGTGGTCCAACCCTGGAACCTACTATGATATTGCCTTTTATTAAAGGGGTCAGCATTCATCTACAGGGAGGAAGGAGAAGTTTTGGACTCGTGAAGCTTTTGAAACTCATGTAAGTATATAATCATGTGAATTAAATGTTAATATGTCACCTCCAGTGGCTTTATGTTGTTCAGATGACTGTTCCACACAATGAGAGTTCCTCTCTTGCTGACGCTGATGTAACGCATAGGTGGAGACTGACTCAAAGCCAAGACACGCGTGATGGTCTCTTGCTGATGTAATGAGTGAGTGATTTTATAATTAGAATAGTAGAAAGACAGTGAAATAATTTTTTTACACATATTCTAAGAGCCTAAAACAAAAATAAAATGAAATATAGATAGATAGACAGACACAGATAGATGGAAAAAGCTGATGGATGGATGGATAGATAGACAGACAGACAGACAGACAGACAGACAGACAGACAGACAGACAGACAGACAGACAGACAGACAGACAGACAGACAGACAGACAGACAGACAGACAGACAGACAGACAGACAGACAGACAGACAGACAGACAGACAGACAGACAGACAGACAGACAGATAGATAGATAGATAGATAGATAGATAGATAGATAGATAGATAGATAGATAGATAGACATACTGAATAATAACAGGTGGTTTTGTCAAGGCAACATAATTAATGGCCACAAAGTTAAAAATGCTACATAAAGTTGTCAGCTGTCACCTTGTTGTAGGTACAGTGGCGTATTAAAGGCTGTGAGATGGGTACATTTTTACAGGCCTGCATCGCGTCTATGATATGCGTGTAATGCTGAAACATGAAGGTGTGGAACGTTTGCCATCCTACACGACCATCGCAAGAGATGTCCATCTGTACAAAAGAAGACATTCTGCTGTGATAGCCGGTCATATAATAGAGCCCAAACAGGCACATGTAACTCTCCTCATGAAAAAACAGGCATAGCAAGTTGTGTTTTAAACACCGATGTCCACAACTGACCTAAGCTTGTCTTTTCCTGACAAGTTAAAGTAAATAACCACAAATTGAAGATAACTGGCCTCATTGAATAACTCCTCCACGTCACTTCTCTGGTAGTCTTGGCCTGTCACTTCTTTCAGAGAGGAGAAGAACTCATCAAAACTCATAGAGTTCGCTGAGACTCGGTCACATGCTCTTCTGTTGGGTTTGGATCTCACAGAACGCTGCTTGAAGAACGATTCCATCATTGACCTCAGATGACTCGACTGCAATGACTCCAAGAGACGGACACTCCGGCCTGCAAAACTAAAGATTTAATGGAGCAGAGAGGGAAAATATGGTGTGAAATAAATATGTATGTACAGAGTCATACAGCAGCTGTGATTCAACATTGATTATCAAAATGATGATTACCAGGAACTGCATGGAGAAAAGGAAAGACAGAGGGAGAACAGAAGAGCAGAAGTAGGTTTTGTAGGGAGAGACAGTGACAGAGACGCCCTGTGGAGCAAACAGCAATTGCAAGTACTTTCTCAATGCATCTTGAACCCACATGAATGTCACCACAAAGTAGTAAATACGAGTGGGAAGCTCTGAATTTTCAGAGTTTACGAGTGCGTGTCAGTGAGAAACGTGGCAGAATACAACACTACTTTATAGGTGTTTAGCAGCACATTTTTTTATTTACAACAAAATAAGTTCATTGTCTGCAAAGAATGTAATAGCATTGTAACATAACAATATAATAAATGACGAAGTGGCCTCATAAATTAATTAAACATAAAAAAGCTAAACACACCTGATGCACATTGTTTGTTCTTCATTTTCTAGAAAAACCTGTTGTATTTTTTAAGTTAATAAAGAGACTCCTTTAACCCAAAAAAGGTTGCATATCTGTTCTGATAGGGTTGTGTGGGCAAGGGGGGAAAAACGCAATTTTATAAAAAATTAATATGAAACTAATCAAATAATCACTGAATTTGTATTGGAAAAGTAATTAAAACTTCTATGTTTAGAAACTTCTAAAATGGAAAAACGTTTCCCATTTATTTTCATGCTGATGTTAAAAGCTCTGCGTCCAAACAAACAGGTTTTTTTTTCAATTTTATTTTTAATAACTTGCAATATGGCTAATACTGAATAAACAACAGAGTGTCATCCATTCCACTGTGCAGTGAAATCAAAATGAAATAGCTTCTGTAATTTATCATGCAAGCATGTTGCCATGAGTATCCGACAACTAACCTAAATGAGCTGGAAAAGTTACTGATTGAAACACCACCCTTAATCACAGCTAAGCCGATTTATAATCACACATGGCAGATCTTTAACATGCCAGTTCTTTAACAAAGCATAAATCCTGTAATATGCACATTTTTATATATGGCTTGGCTTAGGTCAAAATATTACGATAAATACAATGAAAACACAATTAAATGCTAGCTTTATTTCCCTGCATTATACAAATTCAATATATGATCGTCCAACCAATACTCTTCTGTGTTTTTAGATGTTTAGACACCTAAAGTGAGTAAAAGTTTGTGCAAGTAGCTAGGTAGGCAATATATTCTTTCCATTCAAATACAAATTTATAGATATGCACCGATATGGAGATTTTGACCAATACGATAACCGATAATCCCTGGAATTTTTTGAAAGCCGATAACTAATATATTGGCCACTAAATCTAAATCTTGATATACATTTTTGTGAGTCTTATTTCAAAAACAAAAGGCTCATTACCAATAAATGCCACGTCCCAAGCTCTTCAAATGAAATCAAAAGTAGGCTATGCAATAGATAACTGATTTTATTTTAAAACCTTATCTGTAGAAAACAAAGACACTGCAAGGAAATGTCTTATCTGTTCACAAAAAGAGATATTTCTTTTAAATCTCATCTAAACGTTTAAGATATTAACTTTTAAAACGCATCTAAAGCGCGAGAACATGTCACTTCATGCAGAAAGCATGCAAACCCTCATAGTGAGCAGCGTGCATCTGAAGTGCTTCCAAAGGAGGAAATAATAATACATAATTTATCATCTTTAATATATCAACCTAATTTTATCTGTTCAATAACATTAAAAAATAACATTTATTGATTACCATTAAATCACTGATTTGAACGCCGATATTTCATGCATGTCTAATTCAGGATTTATTTGATTTATCAAATGAAATGGATTCTATATAACACCTTATGTTTGGGAAAAAACAACATAAAAAAATTACTGCGGGCATGTATGTCTGTGTAAGCTGTAATATGCCATATCACTGACTGATCACTGAAAAAAATAAGACTATTTACTGTTGAGTGCTGCTGGGTAGTTCCTCCTTATAGACCTTCCATATATCCTTATGTCGTTTCAAGGTAGGCCTATCCATACCTAATAAAAGCAAGAGATACACAGTTTAAAGCAGATCAGGTAAAACAGAGCTTCTAGAAATAACTTACAGTCAATACAGTTTCAATACTTTTTTCAGTGTGTCGAGCTTTGTTTTTACGGCCTCTCCTTCTTTCAGCCCAGGAGACAGATGCTCAGGTTTCTAGATTAATCATCCATTAGTTACTAAGACAATGTCCTACAACAACAGAACTAAGGAGGGCAAAATTATTTGCTGCTTTATTGAACACATTTACACTTTTATAATATATATTTTTTCTCTATGTATTGCTAAAGTTAACTTTGTTGACTATTTGTGGTTAATGTTACTTCTACGGTAAACAATATCACATACATATTTCACATACAGTACCACAATTCTTAACGTAAGGCATTAAAATACTGAAATCATAACATAAATTAATAAAGGAACATCTTCCAGCCAGTGTAACCGCCAACGAGGATCTTACAGCTAACTTACGTTTCAAAAACAACCGTTAAAATGTTAACACTCGGTATACAATTTGTACTAATTTGTGTGTATATTGTACTAAATACACAATACTATGGACGTAAACCTTAGTTCTTGTCAGAGAAATTTAACGTTTAATTTTGATAATCTAAATTTACTTACCAGTCAGGTCTCAAATTTGATTGGATGAGCTCTGGCGAGTTACACTGATTCGACACTGATATGCTACTTGTTCGCGCACTCTTCTTCTACTTTATCCATGAAGAACAAGTACTTATGCTTTCAATGTAGTCAGATACAAACTATTCATGTTAAATCAAAGTAATACTGTTTGTATGTAATATATAAGACGGCCTAAACAGGGTGCGGAATTGTTTTGCGGACAATTTTAAACGTTCTGAAAAAACACACGTCTTTATTACACATACCACGTGACTGAAAGTATATCCCATCCCGGTATGAATAAATAAAAATAATTTACAAATTGCACTTGCAACAATTACATTTTCAGAAAACACATACATATGCTAAAAATTATGTATTAGGAATAAAACTAAAAGCATAAACATAGGCCTAAAATAACATTTAAAAGTTGTAATTAGCCTACTACAAGTATATTTACAGTTTGTGAAAAGAAAAAAATATAAAGTACAATTAGAAAATATTACAAATATTTGTTAAAAAATAGTCATACATTTGTTCTAATACTGTTTTGATCTGTGCTATTTTCAGTAGTTTACTATTTTTATTAGTGTGCTTGTTTAAATTATTAAACCATCTAAGATCAGTTTGACCCACAAACATTATAATAAGAAGAAATCATAAAGTTGTCAGAATTCAGAAAACTGGTCAACTTAATCATATCGATTAGCCATATTTTGACACAGTCAGGGACTAATTTAGCCAGCTAAAAGCTTGGGGTGTCTTTATCACAATCATTCACAAATGTACCTGTAAGATAAAATTATTAATATTTTTATATCATTTGGGTATCACAATCTGTTTTGTACAGTATATAAACGCTTTGATTTACTCTTAGTGGTGAGGTTAAGCTATATCGTTCATGTACTAAGCTACATGCTAACTTTTGCATTGTTGAAAATATTAAAAAACGTAAAATAAAATATGATGAATGAAGGAACATCTTCAGTCAGCCTAAGAGTCAACAAAGATCTTACAACTACATCTGAAAAACAAACAAGCAAACGTTTTACTCTGTCAAACAACGTTTAATATAGACACTTGTTAATGTTATATAGATTATCTTTTCTCCCTTTGTGATACACGGAAATCTTGCTAAATTGCCTTGCTTTTTTAAATTTACCGCATCTCGCCCGGGGGGCGGGGTTACGTCCTGTTTCACATCTCTCATGCGGGTTCTCGTTGACCAGGGTCAGCGGGCACAATAGCGCACACAGGCAGGCACAGAACTAGCTAGCGAACCTAGGTCTAAACCTAACCCTAACCCTAACCTAACCCTAATCCTAACCCTACCCGCCCCCCGGGCGAGATGCCCCAAAATTTATGAATCTCATGTTTGACTCATCTAAAACTACATTTCCCACAATTCTGCAGTTTCAAACAGGAAGTCGTTTCTCTTCCTGGATACTTTAAACTGTCAAACGAAACAATAGTGAAGATAAGAGGCTGAACAAACATCTGCTGCCACAACCCTGAATAAAGTAATGCATTTTAACGGCAGAAAGAAAGGTTAGTTGTCATTTTATGACTCTTCATCTCATGTAAACAGATTGTTGCGCGTAAATTATTTTTGCACGTATGCAAGCACACATAACGTTACGTTGTTTGCATTTACTTACAATCGAGTCTTGAAGATGTTTATTGTATTTCTTTAACCCTCTTATCACAAATGGGAAATAAATTATAATATGTTAATTCCCGGTTTTTTTTTTTTTTTGTCTAATAAGCATGTATTTTGGGAGAATAGATTAGTAAATATCCCAGTACTTTGTAGTAACTGTTACTCTTTTTTTAACCGTCTTGAATTTGTTGTCATAAATAATAATACAAAAAAAAAAAAACTCGGTCACACTTAAGTGTCTTTAACTGCTATAGATTTAAATTAATCATTTGATACAATGCACCTACTGTGTACATACAGGTTTATACATTGCAT